AGGCTCAGCCTGTAGTTCTCATATCATGACATTTGTTTTGCTCTGTGCCCTGAATGTCGCATACATTTAAAAATCCTCATTTTCACTGTTTTTTTAATCTTTTATTGTATCTCAGAGCCACTGATCTCCTGCAGCCTCCTTCAGCCACTTCCTGTCTACATGCACCCGCTCCAGCACCCGCTGCATATGTCTTCTCTGGATCAGCTTCCTGATAGCTCACAGAGGGCCCTTCTCCTTCAATTACATATTTTCTGGTTTTCTCATAACTGGTAAAGTCTCTGCAGGGAATGATCCTTAACGCGGCGAGTTCCCGTGAATTTTAATACCCAATTAATGTTTATTTTCCGAATTTAACGGACTGTAAAAAAAATAAAGAAAACAAAATAATAAAATGCTGCAATCTGCAAATAATTGGGCGCCCCGCCTGCCGCCACTTATCAGCTCTCCCTTGGGAGACACTACAGCCTCTGAACCTTTGCTGCGGCCAGCTAATAGACTTACTGTACTCTATGGAAATGTTGTTCTTGTTGTTCTTTCGGCGAACACTCGAAGTTCCGAAAACATTGTTTAAGTGGCGCTGACAACTCTGCATGGGGTTAAAGTGGAACTCTGGGCAAACTCTTGGTATGGCCTGGCTTGGTTTGCCCAGTCTTGGTACACCCAGCCTTGCTACGCCCTGCCTTGGTACATCATGCCCTGCTATGCCCTGCCTTGGTATGCCCTGCCTTGGTACATCCAGCCTTGCTACACCCTGCCTTGGTACATCATGCTTTGCTATGCCCTGCCTTGGTATGCCCTGCCTTGGTACACCCAGCCTTGCTACGCCCTGCCTTGGTACATCATGCCCTGCTATGCCCTGCCTTGGTACATCATGCCCTGCTATGCCCTGCTATGCTCTGCCTTGGTATTGCCCAGCCTTGGTATGCCCTGCCTTGGTACACCCAGCCTTGCTACGCCCTGCCTTGGTACATCATGCCTTGCTACGCCCTGCCTTGGTATGCCCAGCCTTGGTACATCATGCCCTGCTATGCCCTGCCTTGGAATGGACCTGCCAATTGATCCAGCTCTGTCCCAGACTGGTCGGTTCTCTTTCCCTCAAAAGGATTCGATGCCCCAACTGTACTTTGTAAGGCATTGCAAGTGAGACTCTTGTTACCTTTCCAAATCTATACTTGTCACTATACAATATCCCACAGGAAACCCCGCTGGCGCCCCACGTCTTTTTACTGTCCATCTCAAATCTTACTCTTGTGTCATTTGTCTGCTATTATCTGTACGCAAAACCAACCATAACGATCATAATAAATAAAAAAAATAGAAAATAACGGATGTACAGGCGGGATCAATAGATAATAATATAATAAAATAATAATAATAATATAATAATTAGGGTTGCACAGATACCAAGTACATTTACCGATACTTTTGAGCTCCAAGACTACACTAGAGAAAAATGCAAAAGTTAGGAGGCGGCTGTCATTTGTAAGGAGCACACGGAGCTCCCGGGATTTGTACATCTCTGTTTTAATGTATGATTTTGTTTTTATAAATATAAATGAAGGGATGCACAGATACCAGTTTTGGGAGTACGAGTACTGGTACATTTTGGTTTGTTGTCATGTGACGGTTTTTCTAAAACAATACAGACTAATGATTTCAGGACAGTGGTGGAGCTCCAGAGCCAGGTCCCAGCTGCAACCGCTGCAACCCTGGTAGTTCTCATGAAAATGCCAAGTATCGGCACTGGTACTCGAAAAGTATCTGTGCATCCCTAATTAATAATCATTAAACTATGTTACAAGGGGAAGTCGCTACTAGCAATAAACTGCATCATATATGTCGTTTTTGGTTTTGCCGGGAGTTCCACTTTAACCAAATATTGCCTCGGGGGGAAATACTTAAAGAGTTAATCTTTCAAAGCGCAGAAAATAAGACAGAGTCTCCGCGTCGGCGATACTGTGCGTTCTGTGCGGGAACTGTTTTCAGCTTTATCCGCAAGGGTTAAATGTTAACATATAGCAGTCATGGGACTGTTCCCAGCCTCAGCACACCAGGGCGTTCACTCACCACGTTGGAGGTGTCAAGGACAGAATTAATTACCAACGTTGTTAGGAAAAAAAAACCCACAAACATGCCGAGTTAAGTGGCCTAGAAGTGTCTAAATATATTCCGTGGCGCGCAGAGAAAGCTTTTCGCTGAAATAATAATGCTCCCCCGATGTACTTCAATAATACAAGCTGTATATGTGATGTAATAAGCTGGTTGTTACATTGATATACACTGGGTCTCATAGGAACTGACATGTATAAGAGAGGTTATATAGTCAAATACACTCCAAAATGGTATTTGTACTCCGAGTTCAGTGACTTGCTCTCTTTGTATGTTTGTTGGAGGCACCAGTGATGAAAT